AATCGAATTATTTTTGGCAAGAGTTTTGCGTAAAAACCCAGCATTGGTCGCTTATCAGTTTTAAGAAGAGATAAGGACAGGTAAAAGATGTAAATTTTTGCGTGATTTTTTGCAGGCTCCAGTTGTGATATGATCATCAACAGCGATACCAGCAAAACTGGCGTGATTATGAGCCCATTGTATCCATCGCCGTATCCATCCAAAACGACCTGCCAGTACGAGTTCCAAGGCAGGGGAAAAGAGTTAGTCCGGATCATCTTCCACGACTTCTACTTGCACCATTTGCCCGGCAAGTCCAAGGAGTGAGTTTCCGTTCTGTTCCAGAACTTTCGCAAATGTTCCCGTTTGTAATTTATCCATTGGGTTTCAGTTGTGAAGGGCAGGATTTATTAAACGCCTTCATACACATCGACGGTCGCATGGAGAAAATCGACTCATTTTGCGGCACGACCGTGCCGAAGCCGGTGATGTCGAATGGGCCGCGATTAAAGTTGGAATTTCGCAGTCTGCATTCATCCAGATATTCCAGAGGATTCAATGCGTCGTACAGTTTCACCGAAAGTACGTTTAATTAGCTCGCTGCCGAGCCGGAATGAACGAATGAAAATGCGAAATGTTCCAGATTTTGGGATGAAAACTGGTCTGCAGGTCGCAGGCTATCCATGTGCCTTTGTACTAAATAGTAACGAAACGAAAATGGGCCACATTCATAGTCCCAATTTTCCCGGTTTCTATCCCAGAAACACCGAATGCCATTACTTTTTCTATGGAAACGCCAACGAGAAGGTTCATCTACATTTCAACTATTTCGACGTTGAAGGAGTTTTACCGTGAGTACAGCAGGCTCAGTAAGAGTCGTTCAGATTCATAAACAAGAAACAAACTTTCAGGCCTTATTAAGTTGGGGAAATTAAGAAATACGACGCTGTTGTTCGAAAGCACATTCATTATGTTTCCAGCTCAATGTGAAAGTTCTGATAATAATTTCACTGCTGAAGTGAAATGCAAAACAATCGGATTATTTTCGCCATTAAAACTTGTCCTGGAACAGAAATGAGCGCCGCCCGCATTCAGCTGAAATATCTGCTTATAAATAATGTCGTTTCGACTAGTCAACGTTATTTTTTTGAGGAGGAGAATTACACAGTTTTAGTATTTGAATGCGCTTTTTGCATCGGGGTCTGAAAACTGAACTACACGGAAAAAAATTCTAAAAAAATCCTTCCCATCTTCGGGGCGAAGCTTTAAAGCTAAAATATGTTTTATTATCAAACTGGGTAAAATCCCGGGGTGGATCCAGCTTTAAAGTCAAGGGGGG